TGTGTACATTGGATACTTTTTCTTCCATTCTTGAGATACTTTGCTAAGAAGAACATTTTCCAGCTCCATCCATGTAAACATGAAGGCAGTAAAGTCTTCATCTTTCTTTAGGGCTGCATAATATTCCAAAAATAAAATAAAACAAAATAAAAATATATAAATTAGTCACTGAAAAAAAAAGAAATATCTTAATTTGTGCTTCAGGTTCTTCTAAATGGAAAATTCTCTGTATATTTGTGCAAAGTGAAGGCAAAAAACACTATAAATTGATATGAAATAAAAGGGGTTTATTTCCAAAATAAATAAATAATACCATTTTAAGATCAATTTAAATATCTTCCCATATTGCTTTAGTCTTCATGTTTTCTATTTGAGTGAACATGTACACATATGCATTAAACCATTACCTTATAATTTATTGTTATATGGACCATATGTATAAGGTCTATTTCATTAATGGACACTGAATTATTTCCTTTTAGTAACCCTGAGTAGGATTACCAGGTAAAATCTCATGATCATCTTTATAGCTCTTGTTACATATTGCCCTATAGTCTTCTCAAAATGCAGTTTTAATTTGCAATGCCTCCAGCAGGGTTTGAGTATATTGGTTGTACTACAACCTTTCTGGCATTCAGGAATATGAAAATTAATTCATACATTTTCATAAAAATTATAGTTTAACCTCTGAGAGGTTTTTCACTAATGGCATTTAATTTTCTGGCCTGACAGCCCTCTAAACTTCAGAACAGCTCCTAATCTCTACTTCACTAGCTGATCACTCCTTAAACTCTGGACACACATTCTATTCAAACTGTTTCTCCCCCCCTATTACTCCATGGCAAGTTGTAGCGTGTCTTCTTCCATCCAGTTTCCAAATCAAGATGTGTGGGGATCATCTGAGACTTGTGGCCATACACCTCTATGTCACTCTCCACAGAGCTAGATGAAGCATTCCTTCCAGACGTCTCCTCCTTTCTTGTCATAGTGCTCATGGCAGGCCATCGTCATTCCTTGTTAGGACTGTTGTAGTACACCAACTACAGCCCAGAGTCTCCTGCCTTCCAGTCTATTCTCCACACCATTGGCAGAGTAATCTATCTAAAACTTTTTTATAGAAGACGGAAACCAACTAAAAACACATTTCAGAAACCCTCGTCTAGAGCACAGATTCTGCCTGGGGAGGGTGGTACCAAAAGTATACCTGTGAGGTACCAAACACAGCAGGGTCCAAATCAGGGCCTTTCCTGGAGGCATTGGAGATCTTTTGATGAATTCAACACAGGTGGAGACAGAGAGCTTGATACTTGGTAGAAATACAATTAAATCATACATCTTCCAGTGAAATTCCTCAGCCTCGGGACAAATCTTGGCTCTACATCACTTTCCTTGGTGATTATTGTTCTGCTTGTGTGTATTTCTCAATACTGGGAAATGTGGAACTGTATCCCTTTTAGTTCCATAATAATGAATGATCTAATTTTTAATATGATGTCTTTTATTTATACACGAGATGCTGTGCAAAAAGAATTAATTTTTTCTTCAAAAAGAGTTTTATAAAGAGAATAAAAAATAGCTATTTCACTTTCACGAACTTCAAGTCATGTTAGTTAACTCTGTAAAAATTATATTTAGTAACTTGGGTCACTGGGTTTAAATTAGTAAATTCTAACATCTAGGTAGATATTATCTGTAACTGATAGATATTCTCTATATAAGTTCATATTAAAGGCATAGAGCAAGAATCAGCATATATGTCTGTCCCATGTTTCTTAATAAAGTTTTCTTGAGACACAGCAATGCCCATTTCCTTACATATTGGCTATTACTGCTTATGCACTACAACAGCAAAGTTGATCGGGTACATATTTTTCAAAGCTGATATTTGCCTTCTGACCCCTTTCAGAAAAACTTTGCTGACTCCTAGTTAGGCCCTAATTTATGTTTGCCACTAAAATCATTTATGTTCAATAGGATATAAATATATAAAATAGGTAGAGAGGAAAAAAAGACTAAAGAAGTACATCAAAACATTTACAATGGAAAAATTCCCCAGGAAGTTACCACATTCATGATCCAGCTGGGAGAGTGAGAATAGCTTCTTGTATTTCAAGCCCTTATATCATTTATTACATATAGTATTCACTTATTCCTCACTAGTGAAAATATGTGGTGTTAACACACAGGCACTCGCTCATCAGATGGGTTCATAATTTCCTTTGTTCCTTGATAAAAGCTATGTAGCCAACAAAGAAGAACTCAAAGGAATTTCTAAAAATATCTGTGGTTGTCAAAAGGTTGAAAACCACTGCTCTGTGTTATATACATAATAGGATCTATATCAGGGTCTGGAACTCACATGGTAACAGAAAAAGTGTTGCATGTTGAGCACTACCCAGAAGTTGCTTAAAAATAGTCCTGGTTACATTGGTCATTGATCACAGATCAACAGGGAATGGAGCAGAATAAGAGAGTGAGTCCAAGTAACCAACTCTCCAGGAAAGATTAGGTTGAGAACAATGACACCTAGTATCTGTAATGTCAAGTCAATCACTTTGTTGGGAAAGAAGAGGACTGCCATTTTTGCCACAAAGTCTGCCATAAACTTAAAATACTCTGTGATACAGAATTCAAAAGAATTTGTGGATTGTCTAAACTGAACATCAGTCAAACTCAGTCTGCCTGCCAAAGATACAAGCATCAGCCTGGACCTGTAGCCCAACGTTAGGGCCAACAGCCATCCTAAGGAGCCTTCCCTTGAGAAGCCACATACTGTAGCCGGAATAGTGGATGGTAAAATCAGATCAACCAGATATTTATCCTAAAGGATATATTACATGACAATCGTCTCTACCTCACAGACATCAGGATTAGAAACAGAACATCCAACCCATCTTGCCCATAAGAGGGGCCCAGTAAAGGGTAAGGATTATAATTAAAAGATAGTCACTGAAACTGGAATCTCCTCTGCAAGAAATTGGTGACAAATAAGCAATATGTGGTTTTCTTCAGAAGTCACGATTTTATTTTTATGAACAGCAATATTTCTATGAAACCAGTCAAGCTTTGGACAGTCGGCTTCCCCATCACTGGCCTCCTGCCCATATCTGAAATAGCAGGAGGAAGAAGCAGGCACATCATCGGGCACCTGTGACCACATTTCCACCCACACCCCACGCCCAGTGAAAAGATCACTCACTGATACAACAAAACCTCTCTGCAGTAGAATGAGACAGCATGGAGTGTTATAGATCACTTGAAATAGTTTTGTTTT